AAAATGATAAAAACAAACTTTTTAAGTTATTGTGAAAAGAGTTAATCACTTATACACTGGAATATTAAAATTTTTCTTAAACCTCATAATTCCTTGACACAACACTGAATTATATGATATCTTTATTCATTTTCCTATTTATATTAGAGTTTTGATCACATTATTTTTAGAGTTAATAACTTATACACTGCCAATGTAAAGTTTTTTTACACTGACAACCAATTATATCTTTTAATTATGTCATGTCACTATAAACACATTTACTTTTAACAGTGACATGGCACAATTAAAAGATATAATTGGTTGTCAGTGTAAAAAAACTTTATACTAACAGTGTATAGGTGATTAACTCTTATGAAAAACTGTATCATTATCATATATTTGTGATCTCCAAATAAACTTTCAACAGAGTAAATATTTTAATAGTTAGAAAGGATGATGGTTTTTATACTAAATAATATGAACATTCTAGGAATAATATGATTAAGAATGTAAATATTATGTTTGGCTAACAATAGTGTAAAAAAAATTACATCCCATGATTATCACACCAGGGAGTCTAACTCAAAGTTACTAGACCAATCTTAACTTGTAACCATTTTTATCCAACTATAATATTATTACTTAACTAGGATTGGGAACACTGATGCTGGAAAAGAAGTTGAAGACATGTTATGTTTTATTTTACATTGATTATGTGACAACCATGGTAGAAAATGTCTTCAAAATTTAAAAAAATGTCACTGTCAGTAGATTGCTTGTAAGGTCTTCAAAATTTAAAAAATGTCATCCATTATTTAGTAAGCGATGTAAAAATATGACATAAAATAACCTTTACACACTAGTGCTAATTAGCCCCTTAATAGTGAAAATAACATTAATTTTGTTGTGAATGCAACGATATTAATTTGTTTTGATGACCATAATATGTCATTATTAATATCCATTCAGTAAATGGCTAAGGAAAGTAGCTTTGATGACATTATTGAAGTGACACCTTACAATAATTTTATGTACACGAGAAAATATTTTTGTAATGGTTATTTTACGTTTTACTACCAGTATGTTAGAACGTAAAACTCTGTATATTGCAAAATGAGAGAAAGATAGTATTTATACAAGAGATAAGAAAACAGAATAATCAACACCACAACACTCCCTCTTAATTCTGTTTTACAAAATTGATCAAATTCAATTGATTTCTCATAAATCTAAACCTTTCTCCTTTTATTGCTTTAGTTAGAGCATCTGCAACTGATGGTTAGTACTGTAATAGATCAATTCCAATTTCCTTCTATTTACTTGATCTCTTAGATAATGAAATTTGGTCTCGATATGTTTGCTTCTCCCATGCGTCACAAGATTGTTAGACAAACCAATAGCTGATTTATTGTCTATGAGCAATTTCACACCTTCTGTTACTTTTAGCCCCAGTTCTATCAGCAGTTTGTCCAGCCAAGTTGCCTGGCAAGCACACATAGCAGCGGCTATGTACTCAACTTCACAGGAAGACAAAGCCACTACCGGTTCCTTCTTTGAACTCCACGATATCGGAGCTCCTTCAATGAAGAATACAAATCCTGCAGTACTTTTTCGATCGTCCTTGTCACCTCCCCAGTCTGCATCGGTGTAGCCAATGACTTCAACCTCCTCCTTTGATTTATTATTATTCGGAAACAAAATACCCATTGCATTTGTTCCCTTGGTATTAGAAAACAAAAAGATGATCGGGAGAGAAGAAGGAAAGAAATAATATGAGAATGAATATTTCTCTCTCACTATGAAACCAATACAAAAGGTCTGAATATATACAAGCAGGACACCTTTTCTAGGCTTAACCGTAAAGCAAAATATCAAAGCAATGAACTAATAAAAATAAGACACATGTACAAAAAGATCAGGAAAGAATAAAAAAAAGATCACAGCTTGTTTTTATCAGAAAAGACAAGATAGCAGAATTGCTATTAGCTTCCTTCTAGAAGCTTGTATCCATATCCTTTGATACCCCCCGCAAGCTGGGGACCAAATGTTGATGAGACCCAGCTTGGAACAAATACTCTTGAAAGATTGAGGACTTAAGGCTTTGGTATAGATGTCTGCTTGCTGCTCAGTGGTGGAAATGGGAAACAAATGAATGAGACCCTTCTTCAATTTTTCCCTGACAATATGGCAGTCTATTTCTATGTGTTTCGTGCGCTCATGAAACACTGGGTTTGCTGCAATGTATCTAGCTGAGTCATTGTCACAGTACAAAAGAGATGGTTGCTCAAAAAAAACTTTGAAATCTTGAAGAAGATAAGTTATCCATTGAATTTCACATGTAACAGCAGCCATTGCTCTATATTCAGCTTCACAAGAACTCTTTGATATTGTTCCTTGCTTCTTTGATTTCCAAGATACGAGGGAATTTCCAAGATACACACTAAAACCAGTCACTGATTGTCTTGAATCACTGCAAGTGCCCCAATCACTATCACAAAAGGCTTTTAGATGAGCAGAATTGCTGGAGGAGAAAAACAAACCAAGACTTGGGGCTCCTTTAATATATCTAAGAATTCTAATTGCTGCAGTATAATGAGCTATTGTAGGTTTAGCAAGAAACTGAGAGAGTTGCTGCACAGAAAAGGTGATGTCAGGTCTAGTATTAGTGAGATACATAAGCCTTCCAATCAATCTTCTGTATGCTTGAACATCTGTGAAAGATGCACTTCCAGTAGAAGACAATTTG